CAGTTGGCCAAGTGTTTGTTCTCCAGATTTCTTGGCACAACTTGGTGAGCACGTCCAGGTCAGCATCTGGTAGCTGAAATATGTCAATTGGTATACCATCTATTCCTGGGGCCTTATTTTTTGCTATTTCCTTCAAAGCAGCTTGATCTTCTTCCTTCATCACCATAGGCTCTTGCTCAAATGTTATTTCACTAAATTCTTCTGTATCTGCCAATTCCTTTTGATACAGTGACTCAGTATATTCCTTCCATCTTCTTTTAACACCTCCTGGATCTTTTAATATTCTGCCTAAAGCATCCTTGATTATAGCAACTCGAGGTTTAAATTTTTTCTTCAGTTCCTTGAGCTTAAGAAATGCTGAACAAGTTTGGCCCTTTTGATTTTCCAACTCTAGCTCCTCGCACATTTCATTGTAATATTTTGTTTTGTCATTCCATGCTGCCTTTTGGAACCTTCTGTTCAGCTCTTTAGTATCGTGAATTCTTCCTTGTGATGTGGCTTCTCTACGCTCCAGTGCAATCTTCAGAGTTTCTTCTGACATCCATTTTGGTCTTTTCTTCCTCTTCTGTCTTTGTAATACCCAGTATGGGTACTGATACAAAAATCAACAACAGAATTAATAAGCCAGCAGTAAATTCATTCACCTATAAACAGGTGATCTTTGACAAAGCGGTGAATTTCATGAATGGGTGAAAAGACACTCTCTTTAACAAAATCACAAAGCAAAATAGAATATTTATTTTAAGAAAACTGAAAAATATCCATACCTTACATTATACAAAATAACTAATGTTAGATGAAGAAAGGACCTATGCCCTGAATGTATAAAGCTATAAAGATCATCAAAGAAAAGACTTAAAACTATAAAGATCATGTTCAGAGCAGCATTATTAACCATCGCAAGAACATGGAAACAGCTCAGATGTCCATCCACAAATGAATCGATTGAGAAATTATGGTACATTCACACAATGGAATACTACGCAGCACGCAGGAGCAATGATTTTGTAAAGTATTACCTAATGACTAAGGAGCACAGAAGGAGAATCAATGCCTTTGAGCTGTGGTGCTGGAGAAGAGTATTGAATGTACCATGGACTGCTAGGAAAACCAACAGATTCATCCTGGAGAGAGTTAAACCGGGAAGCTCCTTGGAGGCAAGGATTCTGAGGTTCCATCTAACATACTTTGGACATGTTGTTAGGAGGGACAGGTCCTTGGAAAGGGACATCATGCTTGGGAGGGTGGAGGCACAGCGCAGGAGGGGAAGACCCTCTATGAGGTGGATTGATTCAGTGACTGGGTTAATCAGGATGGGAGTGTCAACGACAGTGCGATTGGCACAGGACAGAGCAGAGTTTAGGGCTGTTGTACATAGGGTCGCTATGAGTCGCAAGCAACTCGACTGCACATAACAACAACATTACCTAACTTAGGAGGGACTGGAGAGCATCATGCTGAGTGACCTAACTCAGTCCCACAAGTACAAATATTGTATAAAACCATTACTGTAGAATAAGTATAAGGATCCAACTGGTGGGGGCAAGAAGGTGGAAGCAGAGGGATGAGGATGTGCAGTGGGATGGGGGGATCAATCATGGGGTTGTACAACTTGATGGGTGGCGGGGTGAGGGAAATTGGAAGAACCTGTTCTGGAAAACAATGTATTTAAATGTTGTAAATAAACTAGTAATAAAAATTTTTTAAAAAAATAAAGAAATGGTGTGTTCCGTCAAGTCAGAACTGACTCATGGTTGACCCTCCAGCAGATTTTCAGAAGCTGTACATCGCATGTGAGAAGATGTCCACCCTTTTCCCTTGAAGTAGCTGGTGGATTAGAACCATGGGTCTGTGGGATTGCAGCACAGCCTCTTAACACTAGGACACCAGAGCTTTTAGAATAGTGACTGACAAGTGTAGATCATCTAACATGATGGCATAGCATCCCCTTATATTCTTCTTTAATTTTATATTTCATATTTTCCAAGATTCTGAGAGGGAAAAAAGAGTTCTGTGTACCATAAATCATTTTTCTAAGTATTTATGTGCTAGCAAGTTGCAACATTTGGGATATTATTATAGCATTTCTCCTCTACCAGGTTTTATAGCCGTAATAATTAAAAGTTGTTATAATAATTATTGTCTTCAATGATAAAATACACAAAAGGAAACTGGACAATTAGTTTGGTATCCAGGACCCAACTCAACCAAAACTAATAGAAAAGATTTATTTACACATATTTTTTTTAAAAAGTTTAAAAATCATCTTTCATTTTTAACATTAATCTATTTAAAATTCAATTCACCAGGTTCACTAAGTTTGAGTCACTAAATTCTGATTCTTACAACTCTATACCATCAAGAAAGTAGTTTTGTCAGTTTCATTCCTTTAAAATAATTTCAATATTTAGCTGCAGATCCTTCTGAAGATACTTGGAGACTTAACTTAGGTGGTACACAAAACAAAGCAAACAAACAAAATAAAAGCAAAATTAAAGTTTTGAAAGTGCCTAGTTTGGAAGTCACAAATTTCTTTAACATTATCATATGTCGAATGCATTTAAATTCTGATGTTTTTATGAGATCTGAATTTAGAGCAGCTGGAAAAGTGTTGCAAGCCAATAAATATTATGAGTGCAGATATTCATTGAAATGAAATAAGATTAGTTCCAAATATAGCATTTCTTACCACAGTAAAGATTTTTGGTCACTCTAACTTAAAATTCTCAGGATCTAAATTTTTCCTAGAAAAATATAGAGCTCTCATGCTCATGATATTAGGACCCACATTGCTAAACAAAATACAAATTCGTTTCTTCTCTAGTGTGTTGGGTTTTTCTAAAATGCAAGCTTGAATGGCTGTACAGATACATTTTATTCCTAATTGTATTTTCCCCCCAAGGCATAAACTCTGTGGTAGAGGAACTCCAGGGTGTGGGACTCAAATGACAGTTGTGAAAAATCCAGTCTGTCTTTAAAAGTTCTATGTTGGCTGGCATCCAGTCACCCCTTTTCATGGGACACTGTGCACAATGAAAGGAAACCTGCCTGGTGCTGTGCCATCTCGTGACTGGTTGCAGACCTGACATAAGGTTTTCACTGGGTGAATTTGGAAGTAGCTCTTCTTTCTGCTCTGTCGGGAAGTTCTGCAGAAACCTGTTCAGCATCCTCATGAGAAGAAAGCTTCTGACAACTAGTGATGCCAGTGCAAGAAGTGCAGCAGTAAGGGAAGGACATTCGGGAGACCCCTGAATAGAAGCAAGAAGTCTACCACCGAACGAACAATGCAACTACCCTTTAGTAAAATGTTTATTACTTATCGAAGTTCCTTTCCCCCCCTCTACTTCATGTCCACTTACATACCCCTCATTGCTCAATCATGGAAGTAAACATGTCTAAACTTGGTGCTGGTTTTTTTGATAACCCATGTGATGACATCAGCCTGAGTCCAAGGCCCTGGAACACAAGATTGCCGTCATATAGTCAATCACCTTGTTGGGCTGTTAGGTCCTAACATAACCCTCCCTGTTAACACACTGCACTGATTCTGAGCCAAAGCTGGGGCTCTGGATGTGCCACATCATTTCCATGCAGGTCTTCGGGATTTTTGTCATCTATTTTGTCAAACAGAGGAGGAAAGAGAAGATACAATTCTATTTTTAAACACAAGGGGTTTAAAACTATATGTGTATTGGTTCTGAGAACTGTGTCATGTATTTCAAAGGTTTCTTATGCGTGTGAAATACATTGTCAGGTCTAATTTTACTGACTCATAACTGTGAGAGAGACTGGTCACTTTCCACAACCTCCTATTAAGGTTTGCTGCTTGGACCTAAATCAGCATCCTTTCACTAAGAATTAGTAAACTGCACTTATTCAAAGAAATCTCTAGCTAAAAGCACCACTGAGTAAAACTTTTAAAAGTACATAAGAGCAGGAGTTTGGGTAAGAAAACAAAACAAAACAAGACAAGCAACAAGCTTGGAAACACCATTTGCTCCCCAGAGGTGAGTTGATGCGGAGAGCTAAGAAACAAGATAAATACCCCCCTCCTATCCCAGGATTAGGGATTTCTGGTGATTTAGTCCACTAGGAATTATGCTGAGAACCAAAGGCCACGCCCCTGAAGTAGTTCAAATCTATCAGGTCTTCTGATGAGGAAAGATGGTCAATCTCTGTCCATACAATTTATGACCTCAGAAACCCAATGGTCTGTGTTTCCACAATGTGTATGAGCTGTATCCCAGGATTAATTGTGGAGCCAGCTAATGTGACTCTGATTGCGAAAGGGGAATGCAACCCTGATCACAGGAAGTTGCCAACAACAGCATCCCCCTGACTATCAGCTTTTAGCATGTCAAAGAAATTAGAGGAGGCAGGGAAGAGGAGGGGAGGGGTGTAGATGGGCGGTGGGGATGATCGCCTCCTGGGCGGGAGACTTCCTTACTCCGGCTTCAAGTAAAAAATGTGTGCATAGGAAAAAATGCTGCCGGAGCGCAATATCTCTGAAGCTGTGTGAGGACTGTGCGGGTCTGGGGTCGCAGGTAGGATAGTTTAGCTTATATAGATGGAAATCACTCCAACGTGTGATGTGGGTTCTGAATAAGGAGAAAACTCATTGCATCGGCCATGGCTGTCATCGCCATTCTGTAATCAGAGCACTCAGGACAAATCTCCTTCTCTGCACTTGCCCTCAAAGAACTGCCGGTTCTCCTCTTCCCCAACCCCCACCCCGGCCCTAAAACACGAGCGCCGGGGCCAGCAGCCTTGTAATTTCCATGTTTGCATAACCAGCTCCTAATGGGATGCCTAGCACCCAGAAAGTGCTCAGAAAAGAAATCATTTGATGAACTTTAAAGCTCCTGGACTGTTTCGGTGCCAACATAAGTTACAGCGCTCCACGCTTGCTAATACCCCGGCAAGAGCTGCAACTTCCCATCAATTTCTGATCCCTGTCTGTTCCGACGCCTACCCCAACCTCCTCGTTCCCTGGAACCTACCAGCAGGGGTGACCAGCAGACCGACAGCACACACATGATGCCCATGAGCTGGATGGCCGTCTCGGTGGTGATGCGGCCCCACTGGGTGCTGGACTGCGACGCCGTGGCTTTGGCCCGGCAGCGAGACACCAGGGCCTTGATGGTGGCCAGGTTGCAGGCGAAGGTGATGGCCAGCGCCAAGAGCCCCAGGAAGGCGAAGGTGGAGGTGAAGAAACAGCTGCCCCAGTTGTCCCGGGAGCTAGTCCCGTTGGCCGCCCCCCCAGTGCTGATGAAGCACCAGGTGCCCGGCCACTGCACGGTGTAGCGGCCCACGCCCAGCACGGGCAGCAGGGCGAAGGTGAGCCCCGCCAGCCACACGCCCAGCAGCACCGCGCGGGTGGCGCGCGTCTTCATGTGGCTGGCGTACCAGTGCGGCGCCCGGATGGCCAGCGCCCGCTCGACGGCCATGGCGCTGGCGATGAAGAGCGAGGACAGCCCGAAGACGGTCATGGTTAGGCCGAAGAAGGTGCAGAGGCGGCCCGACGGGTCGAGCTGCTCCCAGGGCTGCTTGGACAGGTACACGACGATCACCACCGGGGCGGTGAGCAGCTGCCCCACCAGGTCGGTGAGCGCCAGCCAGCCGATGCACAGCAGGAACGACTTCTTGCGCTTGCTCTCCCGGCGCCGATAGCTCCGCGACACCAGCAGCATGGCCAGCGCGTTGCCCACGAAGCCGGTGATGAGCATGGTGATCGGAAAGACCACCGACACCGAGCCGCACTCCTCGCGGGCCCCCGCGGAAGCCGTGAGGTTGCCCGTCGCCAGCATGCCGGCGTGGGAAGGGTGGAGGCCAACGCAGCCCCGGGTGTCCTTCATGTGGGCTTCGAGGTGGGGAGGGGGCCCCTCCCGGAGAGCAGCAGCGGGAGTTGGCACGCGCGGCGCGGGTGGTGGAGGACGGCTCGGGCTGGGGCTGGCCTGCCCTCCATGGTGCGGGGTGTAGCTGCTGCTGCGCTCCGCTCCTTCGCCGCCAGCGTGGTGGTCAGGTGGCGAGGACAGCCCCCGTCCGCCCCTGAGAGCCCAGCGCTCCTGGAACTGCTATTTCAAATACCAGCAGGGTCATCCAAACTTGACAAGTTTCAGTGGAACTTCCAGACTAAAACTAGGAAGAAAGACCTGACCATCTATCTCCAAATATTAGTCAATGAAACCCTGTAAATCATAACAGACTATTGTCTACTATTTTTTTTCTGGAAGATCTACCTTCAACAGCATTATACAATAGTAGCAAGAATAGACGGAAACATAACAGTGTTCATTAAGAAGACACAGAGCTGAGCAACCTTTTATTATATTCTACACAAAATATGAATTGGATATAATTTAATAGCAAATAACACCAAGAGAACCAACAAGTGGTGGGACAGAGGCAGGAAGACATAACAGTATGTGTAAGAGATGATGATGGCATAGACAAGGATAGTAATTTTAGAGGTTTTGAGCAGTTGTTGAATTTTGAAAATATTAGGAAGACTGGGACAGCTGGATATTTTCACCACGTAGATGTGGGATGTGTGAGAAAAATTGGAGTAAAATTGATGACTCTGAAGTTTTGACCGGAGTAATTGGAAGGGAGTTGCCCATAACTGAGATGAGAGAGTTGGTAGGAGCACCAAATGAGAGGATGCATTAGAATTCAATTCTAAGTATATAAGGTTTTAGAGATCTATCAGACTACCACAGCTTCAGTTTGCTCAGCTCCACAGCCAACACTCTTGGCACCAGCAGTCAGGAAATAAAAAAGCTTATCGCAATGGGAAAGTCTGCTGTTAGGGACCTCTCTAAGGTACTCAGGAGCAACAGTGTCTCTCTGGAGACTAAGGTGCGCCTGATACAGGCCATGGTATTTG